ATGCTATCAAGCAAAAGACTGCTTTTGGGCTCATCATGCCATTTGATTTCACCTCCTCTGGCTGCTAAAACATTTACAGGTAGGGTCATGCCCACACCACTGATGAGAATAAGTTTCTCTTAGGAATATGGAAGGGCCTCTGAAAATTGAGCTCAAGGTCTCCTCAAGTCCTTGTTAAAATTTTCCATCAACCCAGAAGATAAGTTCTCAAACTGTGGCCCAAGTCATGGCCCCATGAACTCTATACACTGGCAGAGGATCTTCTACTACTTGAAATGGTGTTTTTTTCAGGTCCTGACACACCTGTGAAGAATGTGAAAGCTCATGGATTTTACCCATGATTAGAGCCAAGTCAGCGGCAGATCTCTGAGTCTTCTTTTGTTATGGTGGTCACCATGTGATTCCATTATGCAAAAGAATTCAGGATGTAGTTCCTGTGTTAAAGGGGTATTATTGGTCACACATGAAATCACTTTCAATACAACAGGGAAACAACTTAGGGCAGCAGTGGTATCATATGCTGAAAGCATTTAGAAAGTGTGTATGTGTGTGTTTGTGTTATTAGTACTATCCTCAAGTGTGGCTTCTTTCTAGAATGTTTATACATCTTGTGTATATGCCTGCTACCCTGGACTGTAGCAGAGAACCCAAGTGACAATACTTCAGCTTAGTTCTGGCTTCTAAAAACTTCTATCAGAGAGAATCTTAGGGGGAAAGGGGGAGATGTAGACTCATTGGGGGTAGGGGCTTTTTATGTCTGTTCAAAAGCAATTTCCTGGAAACTAGACACTTAATGTTTTGGGCTTAGTCATGTCAGCAAGTTAGCAGAGACCAAGGTTTCAAGCACTTCAGGGATGGTGTCATCAGATAAGAGTTAGAAAAATTGATGCCACCATAATGTGAGGAATTCCCATCCAATCAAGGCTAAGTCTTCTTTAGGTCTAATTTATCCTTTTGTTTTACTATGAATTATAATCTTGCTTTAAGCTTTTTTAAAGAACACATACACTTTTTTAGCATTAGCAAAATAATGATGACAGTTATTATTTATTGCCCATTTACTCTGTGCCAGGTTTGGTTTTAAGTGATTGACACAGATGAATTCAGAAAATGCTCCCAAAATGGACTGTAGGTAATTACTATCATTATGCACCTTTCACAAATGAGGAAACTGAGGAACATAAAGGAGAACTGACTTGCCCCAGGTCACAAAGCCAAACAGGAGGGGGAAGGGAATAAATACCCAAGTAGTAAAGTCAATAACCCCTTGGCACATGCTGGGTCTCATAATATACATAATAAAGTTCACTTTTATGATTTTTAAAATCAACTGTACTAACACATAATTTATGTAAAATAGAGTGTATGCATTTTTTGAACATTCTGATGAGTGACACTTATTCAGCTTTGTAAACACTATCATAACCTAAATATAGAACATTCCATCACACTAAAACATTCCCTTGTTCCTCTATCCAGTGACTCCCAAACCCCACTCCTAGGCAACCAATGATGTGCTTCCTATCCCTCTATATTAGATGTCTGTTCTAGAATTTCATAGAAATGGGATCATACAGGTTCTTGTGCTTGGCTTCTTTTCCCAGACTAACCTTATTGAAATTTATCAATGTTGATACATCCATTAGTAGTACTTTCTATTGCTGAGTGCTATTCCATTGTAAGGTAATATCACTATTTACACAATTTATCTGTTGATGGATATTTTGGTTCCAATTTGGCGCCACTGTGAATAAAAACTCCTTGAACATCTTAATAAAATTCTTTAAAAAAACTTAAAAAAATTTTTTGGTACAGTTTGTTTCTTTGGGGGCAAATATCTAGAACTAAAATTGTAGGTATGATACTGTTAACTTTATAAGGAACTATCAAAGGGATTTGTAATACTATCACATTACAATTTTAATTTGCATTCCTTTATGACTAAAGCTTTGGACATCTTTTCTAGTATTTATTGGCTATCTATATATCTTCTTTTCTGAAATGCCTGTTTTAATCTTCTGTTTTGCCCATTTTAACTAGATTGTTTGTATTATTATTGCATAATTATTTTCCATTATTAATATTCTTTACATATTGTGGATGCAAGTACTTTGTTAGATTAGAGACATTTTCTCCTGTGTTTGTTTCCATTTTCATAATAAAATCTTGAAAAGCACTTTAAAAATTCATAAACTCCAACTTATCTTTTTTGCTTTGCTATTCGGTCTCAAAGTAAAATTACATTTTTCTCTGTTTTCTAACAAATTTTGTACTGTTAGCTATTTTGTTGAGGTCTATATTTCATTTTGAATCAAGTATTTAATTATGATGTAAACATAAAGGTATATTTAAAATACATGAATATCCAATTATTTTGTCACCGTTTTTGAAAATAGTTATCCTCTCCCATCAAATTACACTGGAACATTTATCAAAAATCCACTGAAAACTTTCAGTTTTAGCTCAGATAAGTAGAGAAAAGGAAAAAGCATTACTCCCATCCATAAAAGAAAACAGCTAGGCAGACTTTAAATTAACAAGTGTTTTGAATGGATCAGATATCTGGGACTGCAAGGTAAAAACTAACCCAGACTCTGGAGAGCTAGGTGGCTGCAGGGAGAAGCAAGGGCCCAAGCAGTTGCTTCACTGAGCCAGAGAATGACAAACGTCATATAAAATGACTCTAATGGAAAAGCTAAACAACATACAAGATTAGATAGGTTATTTCGCAGAGAGATGGAAAATTTAATAAAATTTAAATGCTAAAAATAACACAGTCTCATAAATGAAGAATGCCTTCAAATGGCTCTTCAGGATACTTGATACTGCTGAGAAAATAATCAGTGACATTAAAGATATGTGTGTGTATGCTTAAATATATATATTCTTTCATTTTATGTATTTTAATGTCCATAAGCTTAGTATTTACAAGTGTTTACAAGTTTATAGTCTTAAAAACATCTTTAAATGAAAATCTCCCTACCTGCTTAACTGACTGTACAATCATGTACTGTTTTATTTAAATTCAATTTAATTAACAAATCTGTATTATTAGTCTCAGAGGAAGAACTTAGTGATTCAACAGTTGCATACAACACCCAGTGCACAGTACTTCAAGTGCCTTCCTTAATGCCCATCATCCACTTGCCCCGTCCCCCCACCCACCTCCCTTCCAGCAACTCTGTTTGTTCCCTATATAGGGTTAAGAGTCTTTTATGGTTTGCCTCCCTCTTTGTTTTCTTATTTTATTTTTCCTTCCCTTCCTCTATGTTCATCTTTTTCACTTCTTAAATTCCACAAGGGAAATCATACAGTATTTGTCTTTCTCTGATTTCTTTCGCTTAGTATAACATTCTCTGGTTCCATCCACCTTGTTGCAAATGGCAAGATTTCATTCTTTTTGATGGCTGAGTAATATTCCATTGGGTATGTATGTGTCTGTGTGTCTGTGTGTGTATATACCATCCATTCATCTGTTGATAGACATCTAGGCTCTTTCCATATTTTGGCATGTTTTAAATGTATTGGTGACCCTGAGATAATATAAAAGTACATACAAAACATTGTTTGGCTTCTTTGAAAAGAAACTGTTTAGTAACAATAGCCTTTCCTATATACACGCCAGAAAGCAGCATGAGAAATGAAATGTAGTATGGGATTCTGACTTTTCAGCTATTTCCTGTAAAAGGTTTATTTGTTATTAATCTACATATGGTAAAATGTAGCTGGTGTCAGGACAGTTACTGAGCAAGGGGTACATAATTCTATTATAATGATGTTGAGTTCCAGTACACAAATAAATACCTGGTAAGTGGCATGCATGTATACAAACTCACATCGATAAAAAATAGAGAACTCAGAAAATATTCACATACATTCAGTGCTGTTCAGTTTATGCATTTATTTCTTATTCTTTTAACGCATCTTATTTTAGTGAATGTCTACGTTATCAATATTGTTATGTTTGTTTTCATAATGCATATGAAACAACAGTCTTATGGAACAATTTCTAAGCAGACGCTATTACTTACCTTTCTCAAATTGATAGATTCTCCCCCTGTAACACATTCTGAGAAAGATTAAAGTTTGATAACTTGTTGAAAACTTTCATACATTTACAATTCAATTATCAGATATTTAATGAAATATTATTTTTTTTGGTAAAATATTTCCTACATATGTTGAAATGCTGAATTTCTTCCACTGATATTTACCTGACTGATGAGGAGGAGTTGTGGATAAAAACTATGGTCATTCAGGATATTGTCAGGGTTGCTCCTGTGTCAGGTTTCTGATATATGCTGAGTTCAGATATCCACAGAAATCATATTCATAGGCTTTATTAGTTGAGGGTTGGTGAGTATATGTTAGTATAAAGTATACCCAAGCCTGTAGAAACTCAGTAGAGAAGAAGTTTATTTCCTTGCTGCAAAAAGGCGGTGTACATGGAGGAGAAAACTCCATTCCAGTCACTCTTTACCCTGTTTCCTTGCATCTTGTATTCTCCCATCTTCAGTGCATGAGCCCCATGGTTTCACTGGGAGTAATCTCCACTCCATTCTGATAAGGGACAGGAGAAAAACTGAGAATTTGAGGAATGTATTAAATGAGACTGGTCATTGACCCCCACATCCTACTAGCCAGAGGTTATTAATATGACCCCATTCAGATGATACTGGTTGAGAAATTTGGACTAGGTGTGGCATAAGGGAAAAGAGTAAATGGTTACTGGTGAACAATTAATAGTCATTATATGGCATATGGGGATTACTTCTGTGTAAGTCAAATTGAGGGCTGATTTGTAATAGAATTCCCCACATCCATTACTTCATTTTTGTCTGTGTTGAAATACTCTGAGTTCTCTAACCTTTATGTATTTTCTGTTGTACTGAGAAAGCTGGCTTTTGGCTAAAGGTTATCAAACAAATTACATTCTCAATTTTCTCATTGTATCATTTCTCTGATGGAGTAAATTTTGATAACTGACACAAAGTTTTCACATTTTTACTACATTCCCAAACCTTTTCTGCAGTGTGAGTTTTCTGAGGATTGAGTACAGAGTATTTCTCACATTATCTTTGTAATTTCTTTGCTGGGTGAGTTCTCTGATCCATAATGAGGACTGCACTCTGGATGCAAGACTGCCCATATAAAATATATTCCAAGAATTTCTCTCCTAAGTTCTTTGATGTTTGTGAAGGTATGTATCTTGCAGAGGAACTTGCACTTGTTTATTCTATCCATAGGGTTCTCTTTCTCTTTTATATTGTGAGATTTGATTTCTGGCTCAAAGTTTTTCCATATTCTTTACATTCATATATTTAACTCCCTGTGTGAGCTTTCTGATGTTCTCTAAGGCTTGATTTCTGGCTGAAAGTTTTCCCACATTTATCACATTTATAGGGTTTCTCCCCTGTGTGAGTTCTCTGATGTACTCTGAGGTTTGACTTCTGGCTGAAAGCTTCTCCACAGTGATTACAATTATAGGGTTTCTCTCCTGTGTGAGTTCTCTGATGTTTTCTTAAGACTGACTTTTCACTGAAAGCTTTTCCACATTCATTACATTCATAGGGTTTCTCCCCTGTGTGAGTTCTCTGATGTCCTCTGAGATTTGATTTCTGCCTGAAAGTTTTTCCACACTCATCACATTTATAGGGTTTCTCCCCAGTGTGAGTTCTGTGATGCACTCTGAGGTTTGACTTCTGGCTAAAAGCTTCCCCACAATGATTACATTTATAGGGTTTCTCCCCTGTGTGAATTCTATGATGTCCTCTAAGTTGTGATTTCTGACCAAAAGCTTTCCCACATTGATTGCATTTATAGGGCTTCTCCCCTGTGTGAGTTCTATGATGTTTTCTTAGACCCGACTTCAGTTTGAAAGCTTTCCCACATTCATCACATTTATATGGTCTTTCCCCTGTGTGAGTCCTCCGGTGATTTCTTAGGCCTGACATGTGGCTGAAAGATTTTCCACATTCATTACATTCAAAGGGTTTCTCCCCTGTGTGAGTTCTCTGATGTACTATAAGGATTGACTTATAGTTGAAAGATTTCCCACATTCATTACATTCATAGGGTTTCTCCCCTGTGTGAGTTCTCTGATGTATTCTTAGACCTGACTTTGCACTGAAAGCCTTCTCACAACCATCACATTTATAGGGTTTCTCTCCTGTGTGAGTTCTCTGATGTTTTCTTAGGCGTGACTTCTCACTGAAAGCTTTCCCACATGCATGACATTTGTAGGTTTTCTCCCCTGTGTGACTTTCCAGAGGCTGAATCAGGAATGAATTCATAGTACAGGATTTTCCACATTCATTACATTCAAAGGGTTTCACTGTTATGTGAGTTCTCTGATGTATGTTGAAAGCTGACTGGCAACCTGAGGTCTCTGTACATGTGTCATAATCAGAGAATTTGTCTGTTGTATGAGTTATCTGATGCACTGGGAGGGCTGGATTATGGCTGAAATTCTTTCCATATTCCAAGGGTTTCACTCCTATATGAATTTTCTGATGTTCTCTAGTATGTGATTTTTGGCTGAAAGGTTTCCCTTCTGTGTCAGATCTTTGAGTGATCCTACTGAAATTATTTTCAGTACATTGATATTCATTAAATTCATAATGACTCTTTTCCTCTGGATTTCCTCTGGACTCTTTTCCTCTGCTATGAGAGACTGTAAGAGTTGATTTATCACATTGTTTCCCCCCAAATTTACTGAATTTATAAGATTTCACTTTTGGGTGGGTACTCCCAGATGTAATGAGGGCAGTCTTTTCAAGGAAAGCTTTTCCACATTCATTGTACTCAGAAGCTTGCTGCAAAGTCTGAACTGCCTGATGCTGAATGACTTTCTCTTTATGACTGAATGATTTCACATTTTTACTATAGACAAATGATTTCTCTCCACTATTAGTTCTGCCCTCCTTAATACTGAGGAGCCATTTCTCACATACAGTAAGCTCATGAGCCTTCTTTCTTGAATACTGACAGTGTGGAGTCAAAGAGCTAAGATGCAGGTAAGTAGGCTCTGTAGTGTCAAATTTATAGGGCATTGTTCTTGCAGGTAAAATGTTTATGTCCAGATTACATGGTTTTTCTGAAATCTCTTCTGCTGTAGTCAATGATTTGTTGGTGAATAAAACTTGCCACAAATATTTGCCTTGGTTTTCTAGGCTCTTCTCTGAGAGTTGATTAGGTTGGGAGTCTTCTAAAAATGAGAAAATTAAAAATAGTTTAAGATATTTAACACACTTCTTATGGAATGGGACTTATAGATATATGCCCTATTATGGATCTGATGTCTCAGTTTCCCAACAATAAAGTAATTCCAAGTGTACAGTCTCTTTTTGTAAAAAAAAAAAAAAAAAAAAAGCTTTTTGTAGTAGCAAGAGAAGAAACTAGAAAAAGATTTACATACGTATTTGGCATCTTAAAGTATAGTTTTCAAAATTGGTTAAAGAAGATATAAAGGAAAGGAACAATTGAGAATGGAGAATATATTCAAGAGAGTTGGATCTTGGAAACAGAAAAGACAGGAAAAAAGTAGTGAATGGGATGAATTCAACAAAGATTATGGAACTAAGTAGATTAAAAGGCTTTCAATGGATTTATCTGAGAGAGAATTTGCACTAGGGAAAAATATGAGTCTAGCTTCTTAGTCAAATATAGATTAAAATGGTAGCATAATCATTAGACTATATGATTCCAGTTGGAGCTCCATTTTTTCCAGTCTACACAACAACACTAAAATTAATTTATAATGGTACCAACTTCCTCATGGTGAAAGAAAAAAATTCTATTTGCCATGCTTTAATTCTCTCTGTGGTATCATTCACAGAAACATAAGTGTATCAGTAAAAGTAAAAAAAAAAAAAAAAATGATGGGAGTTAAGGTAATTTTTCCACCTATATTGGAGCCACTGCTCTATCTTGGTTCTGGTACCTTGGTATTATTGTTCAATAGTGAATATCTCTTGGTCATCAAACCTTAACTTTTCTCTTTTCAACTTGCTCATAATTTTCCCCAAACTAGTCTTGCTTGCCCAATCTTTGATTCTGTTTTTCAACATATCTAGTTTTTTCTTTTTTTTTTTTGGACTGTGAAAACCTTAAGGATCATGTTTCAAACTGGCCCTAAAAACTACAAGTATCCTTTATATTTATTCACCATAAGTTTCTTAAGCATAGGGGCGTGTGGGTGGCTCAGTCATTAAGTGTCTGCCTTTGGCTCAGGTCATGATCTCAGAGTCCTGGGATCAAGCCCCGCATTGGGCTCCCTGCTCCGCGGGAAGCCTGCTTCTCTCTCTCCCACTCCCCCTGCTTCTGTTCCTGCTCTCACTGTGTCTCTCTCTGTCAAATAAATAAATAAAATCTTAAAAAAAAAAAGGAAGGTTTTAAAAAAAAAGTTTCTTACGCATATCTGACTGTTATTGCCCTGCTACTACCCACACTCCTAGCAAAAACATCAGGCCTATGCTAAAAATATTTGAAAGCCTTGAATACACTGACCTAGGTGCCAAGAGATGAAAGATTTAAGTGGTTCAGGGCAAATTTCACACTAACTGCATGTTCATTGTGTGTTCTAGCTACCATTCCACCAGTCCATAGTATTTTCTGCTCTAATCTTGCTATCAGTCCCCATTAAATGGTTCTTTTCCAGCAGTAACTTTATACTCACACTCTTTCCCTAAATTGTCCTCCATTCTAGTCTTAGGACTATATAAAATCTAGATGCCCTTCAGGTACAGCAAAGGTATCTTCATTAAACTTAACAGAAAGGCTTCTAATATCTTCTCACAAATTTAAGCAACATTCATTTTAAAATCTGAAAGAAGTATCATTCTGCCTGTATCATTCATTTCAACAAGGGATATATAGAGAGTGCCCATATTTGTGACTCATGATTTTTAAAGTAAATATCATAACCCAAATCAGGAGGCATCTTAAAATTGATGGCAAGCCAACAGTTAAATGGGCAGCATTTTCTCTTTCTTGGTTGTACTTAAAATACTGGTTCATCTTTTAATCAACAGTACCTATATTATATGAAATATATTTTATGTAGGTTTGCTCAGTTTTCCAAAATGAAACCCTCACTGTGATATTCTTTGCATCCTTCTGTAATACATCAGTGGTCCATAAAAAGCAGTGTGCTTCAGAATTACCTAGAGAGCTCTGCACATACAAGGGCTCAGATCGATTGCTGATCTACACCTGAGGATTCAAAAATCCTTAAAATTTGACTTGGGCATTAATTTATGAATAGTGTCTTCTGAATTAATCAATATGAAGTAGTTATCTCCATCTCGTTTTGAAATCAACCCAAAATGTTATTAAAAATACTTACCATATAATACATACCAAAGTAGAAGAATGAAACAGACCATTCTTTTGGGGGGAATCATAATCCAGGTGAGAAAAGGAGCTCATCTCATTCAATAACCGTATCTAGCACACTAACTGTATCTGGCACAGATATTTCACTATCTTTTGACACATCCATCAAATGACTTAAGAGTTTACAGAAGAGATAAAGTATAGGCTAAATATTCCAAGATTATATTATAGAAGTAGGAACCTGTCCCCAAACTTATAATGAGTAATAGTGCTTTCTTTCCTTTTTCTGGCTGAGGTTAGCTATTTTATTTACTTTTATTTCAAGGACTACCTTTTGCCTTATAATTTATACCATTATAGTTTTTATTACATCTTTTATTTTTTATTATTGTATATATAACATAAATATTTATTTTATTTTTATTACATCTTCCTTGGTTGTTAAAAAAAGTACACTTGATCCGTGTTTTTCAAAGGTCAACTGGTCAAGGGGTGCTGACCACCCCCCATGGAGTTGGAAATCTGTGTATAACTTCTGACTTCCCAAAAACTTAACTACTAATAGCCTACTGTTGACCAGAGCCTTACAATAAGATAAACAGTTTTGATACACATATTTTGTAATTTACATGTATTATATACACTGTTTTTACAATAAAATAAGCTAGAGAAAAGAAAATGTTATTAAAAAAAAAGAAAATACACCTACAGTACTTTATTGTATTTATTGAAAAAAATCCATGTATAAGTAGATCTGTGCAGTTCAAACCTGTGCTGTTCAAGGGTCAATTGTATATGAGATTAAAAATTATGCACTGCTTTATCTACAGTCCAAAGTTCTAATAGACATGTTTTTCAATAAAAACTTTTTCTGGATATTGTATAATTTTGATTTACCTTTTGATAAAATAGGTTTTTGAAAGATATATATTCATCATTGATTTTAAGATAGAGGGATTTTAACTTTTCTCATATTGTTTGCAATTTACAGTGTTATTGAACAATAGTATCTCTACTTTGTGGAATTTATTGTTATCTAAAATACTTTTACATTTTCTCAATGTTTGAAGGCCATTTAAAAGGAGGTTTATTCTTTGTTTTCAGAACAGAGTTTTGAAAGACACTTAATAGATTCATTTTATAAAACATGCTATTTAAAATGTCTAGACCAGAGGTTGGGAAACTCTCTGTAAAAGGCCAGAGAGTAAATGTTTTGGGCTTTGCTGGTCATGCGGTCTCTGTTCCAATTATAGTTGACCCTTGAACAATGTGGGGATTAGGGGTGCCAACCCCCAACGCAATTGAAAATATGCATTATAATTTCTGAATCACCAAAAACTTAACTATTAAAAGCCTGCTGGTGAATGGAAACTATACCAATAACATAAAGTTGATGAACACATTTTGTATATTAAATGTATTATATACTGTATTCTCTAAACAAAGTTAGCTACAGAAAAGAAAATCATAAGAAAAATACATTTACAGTACTGTACTGTATTTATTGAAAAAAATCCACAGAGAAGAGAACCTGAGCAGTTAAAGCCTATGTTGTTGGAATAGTTCAAACCAATGTTACTCAACTCTGCCTTGTAGTGTGAATACATAAACAAATAGACATGGCTGTGTGTTCCAATAAATGTTTCTTTATCAAAAAAAGCAGCAGGCAGGATTTGACCTAGGGCTAGTTTTCTGAGCCTTATTCTAGACTTCACTGAGTCTGGTATGAAATCAGAGGGGCATATTAAGGTCTACTATATCTAATGTATACCTACTTCTCCCTATAACTCTTGCCAGTTTTTGTTTTATGATAATTTTGTTGTGATATTTTGTTGATAATTTATTTGGTACACTAATATTCACAACTTTTATATGTCCTTTAAAAACTTTTTTAGCTTTATCAAAATGTCTTTTTTTTTTAAATCTGTTTTTGCCATGAACTGATTCTTAAGTATTAGGTAAATAAATATTGAGTTTTAAAATGCCTTTGGCTTAACAATTCATGACCATATTTCAAACTTTATATATTACTTTTTAGGCATATCTCTTTGATATGATCTGATAGCATGTTATCTTAATAGGTGAATTTAATTCATTTACATTAGTTGATATGGCAGGTATGTTTACCTTACCGTATATTATGTAGTGTGTTTGCATAGCTTTTGTGCAAAATGTTTAACACAGCAGGCCTGAGACTGTTACCCTTAGATGGTTGACTTGCAAGAAGATTAGCCTTTGGCTGGCATCTGTGAACTTAGATTTTGAGATGGTTCCCAAGAACCTAGTCTCTAATGAACTTTCCAGGTAGACAAAATTCGCTGCTGGGGTCTTGGAAGCTCACACCTGGTTTCCTCTGGACTTTGTCCCTTTTCTCTTTGCTGATTTTGCTTTGTACCAATCATTTCACGTTATAGATCTTAGCTATGAGTATGACTATATGCTGAGTAACAAAGAATCAATGAATGTGGTATGTGGTAGTTGTCCTGGGGACTCACTCTTTTTTTTTCTTATTTGAAGTATAGTTGACACATAATATTACTGGGGACTCTATACAACTTTGTAAGAAACTTTTCTAGTAACAGGTCTGTTATCTTTGCTCTATCACACATATTTAACTTCTAATAATTAGGAAGGCTGCAGTTTGCTCCAGTAGTTATCCTTTCTTATTATGTAATTGCTTAATCATCTATATATTTAGATGACATCTAGTAACTCATTATTATATAATGAAAAATTATGGTTCCTTTCTCTTTTCTAATTTGCCTATTCTCAATTTTAGTAGCTTTATTAATTTTTCTTAGTTTTTATCTTTTTACTGTTAAGAATATGGAATTCATTATTTAACTTTTCAGCCTCAAATGGAATACTTAGTTCCCATCTTTGCAGTAATGTCCGCAATAGCCAAACTGTGCAAAGAGCCGAGATTGCCTTCAACAGATGAATGGATAAAGAAGATGTGGTCCATATATACAATGGAATACTACTCAGCCATCAGAAAGGATGAATACCCAATTTTTACATCAACATGGATGGGACTGGAGGTGATTATGCTAAGTGAAATAAGTCAAGCAGAGAAAGTCAATTATCATATGGTTTCACTTATTTGTGGAACATAAGGAATAGCATGGAGGACATTTGGAGAAGGAAGGGAAAAATGAAGGGGGGGAAATCGGAGGGGGAGATTAACCATGAGAGACTATGGACTCCAAGAAACAAACTGAGGGTTCTAGAGGGGAGGGGGGTGGGGGGATGGGTTAGCCTGGTGATGGGTATTAAAGAGGGCATGTACTGCATGGAGCACTGGGTGTTATACAAAAACAATGAATCACGGATTACGACATCAAAAACTAATGATGTTGTATGCAGTATGGTGACTAACATAACACAATAAAATTAAATTAAATTAAAACAAAAGATGAGAATATACTCACGCTTACGATCCCTTCCATATTTTATTAGATCTATTATTTTTATAATTTAAAATGTAAAAGCCTCTAAAAGGACAGTGCTGAAAAACATTTTAAACTGCTCACTTCCAGCTGATCACTTTGGTTTTTTTTTTTTTTTTAGCTGATCACTTTGGATCTAATTTTTTGGATGCCTTCTGCCAATATTCAATAACTCACCTGGGGAGGTTTTTCTTAGAAATTCTTTCTTTAATAGCCATGGATCTTCTCCTTGTTCCAGTGTGAAGATCAGTTCTGGTTTTGTAAAGCAGTACCCTGTAAATGGAAAATAATTTAGCACTTGTGTTAGCTGCATATGTTTCACTGTTTCTGAATGTGAAGGAAGGTAGTTTCAAAAATGGCACATTCAGGATGCTCACTACAACCTTTCTGGGAGGAGAGTGATCACAAAAAATATTTTCTAATGCTTATAAAGGATCAATCTTCTTAAACCCCCAAATCACAAGCCTAAGTAATATTAAATTCTAAAATGCTCAACGTCTGTGTTTTAAAGAAGAGAATTCAGAAGGACTTTCCAAACTGGCAATAGACTAAAAGGAACTGATGTATTTCTCCATATCACACATCTAAAAAAGTGTACAAACTATATAAAATGGTTTTTAGACTGGTTGATTCCAGTCATTTCTGTCTGCAGTGCCAGGCACTGCAGACAGGAATACCCGACAATAGGAAATCAAATGAAGTGAGTCCTATGATTATCACGTGTTGATACAAAATGAGCATAAACTTTAAAAAATTTTAAAGAGAAAGGAAGAGTTTTATTTGAGCCCAAGTTAGGACAACTGCCAGGGATACATAATCTTCACAAGCAAGAGAGTGGTCCAGAGAAGGAACATTTAGTGCAGGGTTATATATGTTCTTGACACAAAGAGTTACAAATCATCAAGATGAAGGACATTCCAGAAAGTTACAGACTTTATCTTATGTTTTTATTATATGCAAGGCTGTATGACTTTAATCTTAATGGAACCAGGGAGAGTTTGTTTTGTTTTGTTTTTCTTATCTTTTGTTTGGAATGCTCCTTTTATTTTTTCCTTTCTTTTAATTGAAGCAGATGTACAATGTGTGCCAATGCTCTGTTTTGTCGAGTCATTTTAGTCTTAGTAAATGTTAAAGTATAGCTTCTCTGGGAGCCCAGGAGCAGGGCCCACAAACATTAAAAGCTGAAAATTTCCCTTATCACACAACTTACTGCCAAGAAGAGTTTAACCCACAGAACAAAAGAACCAAGAAAGCCTAGCTGACTCAGTAAGTTGAAGTAACATAACTGAATTTTAAGGAAGCCATGACAACTAGAATTGTTAAGGATGAAATACTAGAGAAGAAAAAGCTGTACTGATATGGAGTCTTAGAGATTTGCAGAAGAGTCTCCTAAGTACTAACTTATGCAAGTATGTAAGAAAAATACTCAAGGATGAGGAAAGACCAGTGAAAAAGAGTAGGCTGAAAAAATTATCAAAGCCTACACAGATGTAGGAAGCTTCTGTTGCCACCAGACAGGGTAGAAAAATCTCGTACTTCATGGCCAACTGGGAAGAATACCAGAAGGATGTTTATTGCTTAATAGAAGAGTCAAATTAGTCCTAAAGCAAGCTCTGAATCTAACATAACACAGCTTAAAGCAATCCTTGAAATAATCAAATTAATTCCAAATAACTTAACTACATACCAGAAAAGGCCTCAAAAGATTTAAAATAATACAACAAAACTAGTAGCTAAGAATATATTATCAGTATTATCAGTGCTCAATAAGATAAATGTACTTTTGATCCCCTTTATCAATTTCATCGTTCCCCTCACCCACCTCCACTCTGGCAACCACTAGTTTGTTTTCTGCATTTAAGAGTTTGTTATTTTTGTTTGCTCTTTTTTTTTTGTCTGTTCATTTGTTTTGTTTCTTAAATCCCAATATGAGTGAAATCATATGGTAATTGTCTTTTTCTGATTGACTTATTTCACTTAACATTATACCCTCTAGGTCCATCCATGTAATTGCAAATGGCAAGATCTCATTCGATGAAGAGAAAATCTTAAGTAGCTAGAAAAAGGTGTAATATGTATAGAGGAACAAAGAATGCCTACTTCTTGTCGGAAATTATATAAGCCACAAGACAATGAAGTGACAATTTTAAAGTACTGGAAGGAAAAAGTCAACCTATACTTCTATATTTAGCAAATATAAGACATTTTCAGACAAACAAAAGCTGAATTTATCCCCAACTGACATATATTACAGAAGAAGCTAAAAACATTCTTCAGACAGAAAAAAAAATGCTATTGGGTGGAAATTTGGATTTATACATAGAAATACAGAGCACCACAACCTGGAAATATGATATAAATATAAAATATACTTTTCTCATTTTTAGAACTTTTAAAAAATGATAAATTATCTTTTAAAATAACAGCAACAATATACTGTAAGGTTTGTAACATATATACTATATATATGTATACGTATGTAAAATAAATGACAACAGCACAAAAGATGGAAGGTAAAAAATGGACAATTACAAAATTCTTATTAATGTAGTAAAAAAAATATTTGAAGGCAGATTGTGTTAAGTTAAAGATGTATGCTGTAAATGCTAAAGTAACCACATAACCACATGAGAGAGGCACAGCTATAAACCATGTACATAGATGTAATGAAATCATTAAAAATATAGTTAATCCAAAGAAAGCAGCAAAAGCAGAAAAATGGGAAAAAACAGACTGCATAAATAGTACACAGTCATATATAGTTCATTTAATGTTAAACGTAAATTTCAATTAAAAGGCAGAAATTGACAGATTGGATATAAAAGCCAGATCCAAATATATGATGTCTACAGGAAATCCACATTAAAGACACAGGTAAGTTATAAGTAAAAAGAACAAAAAAGATGCCAAGCAAACATAATAAATAGAAAGTGACTTTGTTAATATCAAAATAAAATTCAAAAGAAAGGAATATTATCCCGGGATAAAGAGAAATACTGCACAATGATGAAGGGACTAATTCATCAAGAGAACAAAACAATCCTAAATTTTTTTTCATCTTATGAAACTACTTCAAAATATATAAAGCATATCCTGTTAAAACTGGAGGAATAACCAAATCCACAATTACAGCTGGGCAGTAACAGCATTTGTCTCAACAACTGATAAAACAAGTAGATGAAAAGTAACTAAGGACAAAGAAAAATTGAACAGTATTATTAACATGACCTAATTCCCATCTATAGAAGACTGGTCCATGGTTAAAAAATATGACCCAACTATATCCTGTCCACAATAAGTTCATTTCATAAATATTGTTTAAACGGTTTTCCCTTATAAAAAGGTAAAGTTTTTCTCTTGTTGCCTTTAAGATCTTTTGTCTTTAGTTTTCTTAAGTTTGAAAGTCATGGGGGGCACCTGGATGGCTCAGTTAAGCATCTGACTCTTGATTTTAGCTCAGGTCATGAAGTGAGAGTTGTGGAATCAAGTTCCGTGTCGGGATCCATACTCAGAGTGGAGTCTGCTGTTCCTCTCCCTCTGCTTCTCCCCCTGTGCTCCCACTCTCTCTTCTCTCTCTCTCAAATAAAGAAATAAAATCTTAAAAAAAGTCATGGAGTTCACGGCATGGATTCCTTTGGTTTTAGTCTGTGTGGAGTTTGCCCAGCTTCTTCAATGTAGGCTTATGCCTTTTGCCAAATTTGGGAAATTTTCAGCCATTATTTCTTTGAATACTTTTCCACCTTTCCTTATGGGACTCCAAAGACAAAAATGTTAAGAAATTTTGTTGCAGATCCATAGTCCCCTGAGATTCTGTTCATTTTTATTATCTATTTTATTTTCTGTAATAATAAATAAGCCATTATTATTGTTCTATATGAAGTTAAATGATTTTTTTCTCTGTCTTCTCCATTCTGCTGCTGTGCATATGCACTGAATTTTTTTAAAAATAAATTTTTTATTTTAGAATGTCTTTAAATTCACAGGAAAACTGCAAGGATAGGAAGGAAAATTCCTAAATATGCTGTACCCAATTTACCCTATTGTTAACATTACTAGAAGTTTTGTCACAACTAATAATATAATGTTGACAATTATTAAATAAAATCCATACTTTGATATTCAGATTTTCCCCTTAATCTCATTTCTCTGTTCCACAATTCCATCCAGGACACAACATTACACTTAGTTATCATGTCTCCTTAGACTCCTCTAGATTATGAGTGACTTGCCTTGGTTTTGATAACCTTGACATTTAGAAGACACTGCAGAAAGTCCTTCAGTGTGGGCTACTTGTCTGATGTGTTTTTGGGATAAAAATAGCAAAGAGACTGCTATCCTTATCCCATCTTATGCTATCAACATGACATAATTTTCTTTTCATTTAACTTTTAATTTAAATTCTAGTTAGTTAACATACAGTGCAATACTGCTTTCACAAGTAGAATTCAGTGGTTCGTCACTTACATACAACACCCAGTGTTCATCATAACAAGTGCCCAACTTAATACCCAACACCCATTTAGTCCAACCCCCACATATCTCCATCAACCCTCAGTTTGATCTCTATCGTTAAGAGTCTCTTATAGTTTGCTTCCCTCTTTTTACCCCTCCCATATGTTCATCTGTTTTGTTTTTCAAATTCCACATATGAGTGAACTCATATGTTATTTTGCCTTTCTCTAAATGACTTATTTCACTTAGCATAATGCACTCTAGCTCCATCCACAGCATTGCAAATAGCAAGATTTTTTTGTGTGTGGCTGAGTAATATTCCATTGTACATATATACCACATCTTTATCCACTCATCAGGTGATAAACATCTGGACTCTTTCCATAGTTTGGCTACTGTTGATAATGCTGCTATAAACAGCTTGATGCATGTGCCCTGGCAAATCACTATTTTTGTATCCTTTGGGTAAATACATAGTAGTGCAATTGCTGGATAGTAGGGAGTTCTTTTTTATTTATTTATTATTTATTTGGAGTGAGAGAGCGAGAGAGAGAGAGCACAAGCAGGGGGAGGGGCAGAGGGAGAGAGAGAAGCAGATCCCCTGCTGAGCAGGAACCCTGACATGGGGCTCAATCCCAGGACCCTGGAATCATGACCTGAGCTGAAGGCAGACGCTTAACTCACTGAGCCACCCAGGTGCCCCTAATTTTAACTTTTTGAGGAACCTCCATACTGTTCTCCAGAGTGACTGCACCAGTTTGCATTCCTACCAACAGTCCAAGAGAGTTCTCCTTTCTCTGCATCCTCACCAAACACCTGTT